TGCTACTTGGAATATTAGGGGCCTGAATAAACCTTCTAAGAAGCAAGAAGTTAGGAAATTGATTTTTGAAAAACATGTGGACTTTGTGGGCATTATTGAGACTAAAGTTAGAGGTGTTAATAGAGACACTGTCAAAACGAATGTTTTTAGGCACTGGGAGTCTGTTGATAATTTTCACAGTCACTATTTGGGGAGAATTTTGGTGGGATGGAATCCCAATACCCTAGAGGTTAACAATCTCTCTGAAACTAAACAAGTGATACACTGTAGTGTTTTGCACATTCATAGTTGGACCAATTTTTTTGCATCTTTTGTGTATGGGGTAAATGAGGATTATGAAAGGAGGAGTTTATGGAGGAACTTAGTATCACAGTCTGCCACATTTAGCCACTCCCTTTGATTCTCTTAGGTGATTTCAATGCCATTAGAAACACTCAAGAGAGCCAGGGTGGCTATAATAGATGGTCTCAAGCTATGGAGTATTTTGAAGATTCTATACAAGGGGCTCAACTAGTGGAATTAAGGTACTCCAGTATATTTTTTACATGGAGGAACAAAAGAGAAGGGGAAGCCTACATTGCCGGGAAACTCAACAGAGTCTTTGTAAATGAAAAATGGACCCAACAATTTGAGCACTCGGGGGTTGAATTTCTACCATCAGGTATTTCAGACCATAGTCCTGTGTTAATCAAGATGGGAAAAGCTAATAGGAGAAGAAAGTGCCCTTTCAAATTCTTCAACTACCTTGCAGACAAAGAAGACTTCTTACCAACTATTGTAGCTATTTGGAATGAAGATATTGAGGGATCCTTTCAATTTAAAGTGTCCTGCAAGCTAAAGAAACTCAAAACAATACTGAAGGATAAGAGTAAGGAGTTGGGGGATGTGTCTATGAAGGTGAAAGAGAAGAGGGTTACCCTTGAGAACTGCTAAAGAAGGCTTGACACCAATCCATCTGATCTGGCACTAAGGGCTATGGAGAAACAGCTATTAGCAGAATACTCGGTAGCTGCCAATAATGAAGAAATTTTTTTCAAACAAAAGTCAAGGGTTTTGTGGCTCAAGGAAGGAGATCAAAACACTACCTTCATCTTTAAAACTATGACAAGTAGAAGGGACAAGAATAAAATCATTAATCTTAAGGGAGCAAATGGAATGGACATTGAAGGAGATGTTGCAATTAAGGAGGAAGCTACAAGGTTCTTCATTCAGCTATTGGGAGGTAATGTGGATACTTTTAATTCTGAAGCAAGAAGAAACCTATTGGAGTCCCTTCCTATGGTTAGGATTAATGACCAAGAAGCTGCTCAGATGATGAGTTAGGTTACAAATGAAGAAATTAAAGAAGTGTTTTTCTCATTTGATGATATGAAAGCTCCAGGCCCTGATGGATTCAATTCATATTTTTACAAGAAAGCTTGGCCTGTTGTGGGAAGGGATGTGACTGCTGGTGTTAAGGAGTTCTTTAGGAACAATAGTCTTCTCAGAGAGATGAATGCCACTATCATTGCTCTTGTCCCAAAAAACCAAAACCCCTCAGAAATGGGTGACTTCAGGCCAATCTCATGTTGTAATGTCTTGTACAAAGCCATTTTGAAGATATTTGAAAATAGAATCAAATGTGTGCTCCTTGGAATTATTGGACCAAATCAGGTAGCTTTCATTCCCAGGAGGAAGATCAGTGATAATATCCTCCTTACTCAGGAACTACTTAGGGATTATCACAAGCAAATGGAGTCACCAAGATGCGCCATCAAAGTTGATATTATGAAGGCATATGATACCATTAATTGGGGATTCTTACTGGATGTATTAGAGATATTTGGAATACCTTATCAGATGAGGAAATGGATCCAAACTTGTATCACTACACCTAGATTCTCCATCAACAAAAATAGAGAACTTGCTGGGTTTTTTCCTAGCTCCAGAGGCCTTCGACAAGGAGATCCGCTCTCTCCTTACTTATTTATGATAGTTATGGAAGTTCTTAATGCTATCATCTGCAAAATGATCTCTTCTAACCCTTCCTTCAAGTATAATTACAGGTGCAAGAAACTAAAGCTAACTCATTTAAATTTTGCAGATGACCTATTCTTGTTCAGCTATGGAGATTTGAACTCTGTAAGCTATCTGAAGGATGCACCATTAAAATTCCAAGAAGTTTCTAGTATGCAAGCAAACTCAGCAAAAAGTAGCGTCTTCTTAGAAGCTGTCCCTGAGGAAATTCGAAGTCAAATCATTATGATGATTGGATTTCCAGAAAGCAACTTTCCAATCAAGTATTTGGGGTTGCCTTTGGTGACAACTAGACTCAAAGCCCTTCATTGTACGCCATTGATTGAGAAGATTAAGTCAAGGGTTAGAAGTTGGACAAACAAGTTTCTATCTTTTGCTGGTAGACTATAACTGATTAAGTCACTTCGTAACAACACCCAAATTTTTGGGGCTTCCAATTTATACCTCCCCTAGCAAGTGGTTGAAAAAATCGAGAAAATCATGAGAGCTTTCCTTTGGAATGGTTCAGAACAAAGGGCCTTAGGAGCTAAAGTTGCTTGAGAAGATGTTTGCAAGCCAAAAGATGAAGGTGGTTTGGGTATAAGAAAAATAAGGGACTATAATAATGCTTATATGTTGAGATTCATATGGTTGTTATTCACTGACAAAGAAGGTTTGTGGGTCAAGTGGATTCACTCTGATTATCTCAAAGGCAAAAGTCTTTGGGTGGTCAGGATTCCACAATGTTGTTCATGGAACTGGCTTAATTTGTTGACGCTAAGAACAATTTGTAGAAATTCTTCATAGCATTGGTGATGGACAAAACACTAGCCTCTGGCACGATAACTAGCATCCTTAGGGTCCCCTTCTATTGAAATGGATGCAAAGGTTAGCAACATTGTAAGGAATAATATATGGCATTGGCCTCACACAGGAACTGTTGAGTTTCGGGAAACTAAACAAACCATGCCCACTTACCAAGCATGTCAATAAAGATGGGATGTTGTTAAATAGATTTGTGCCCCAAATGGCACTTTCTCCTCAATCTCTGTCTGGGATCAAGTGAGAGTTCATTCTCCTAAAGTGCCTTGGGTCCATTTGCTGTGGTATAGCCATGTTATTCCTATGATGAGCTTTATTCATTGGCTAGCCATTAGAACAAGGCTTTGCACAAAGGATAGAACTCAAGTATATACAAACAATATGGGGATGAAATGTGTTCTATGTAGACAAACAGATGAGACCCACTCTCATATATTTTTTTGAATTTCATTACTCAAGGAGCATATGGAGACAACAACTTCGGCTCACTGGTGAGCAGGGACAACTTAACTCTTGCAGCATCTGGTAAGTCATGCGATCCAAAATTGGAAGGGCAAATCCATGGTGAATGTGTTGAGAAGACTTTGTTTGGCTGTGAATTTGTATTATATATGGAGTGAACGAAATAACAGAATCCATCAAAACCAAGTGAGAGACTACAAGTCCTTGTTAAGCCTCATTGTGCAAACAGTTAGGGACAAAATGTCTTCGGCCAAGTTCAAAACCTCTCAGTTGAACATGCAATTATTTCAAATTTGGCAGCTGCCTAGATCCTGCATAAGTTAACTTGTGCCTCTATGCTTTTGTAATTGTTCTTAGTGATGCCTTGGATTCAGTAAGAACAATTAGTTCCTCAGAATTTTGGTTCTTGTTATCGGTATTGTCTTTTTTTGGTGTTTGTTTCCATGTTGCTGGTGCAGTAGGTGATGTCTACTTTTGATGGAGGGCTGTCTGCTTGTTGTTTGTTGCTGCTGTGATTGGGGGCTGTCAGCTGGTTGTTTGTTGTTGCTGTGTTGGGCTGGGTTTGGTGTTGATTTTTACTAATGCAAATGGCTGAACTTGGTCTGCTACGGGGCTGATCTGGTCCTTGTTCGAATTTGTTGATCGAGTTTAATGAATTGGTTTCGTGCTCTAATTTTTGTCTATCAATGTATTCTTTTGTCTACAATTATGTGGAAGATGTTCTTATTCAGGACATCTCTTACAGACTTGTATTTTGAGTCTTGGCTTTTTGAATTTTTTTATGTTTGTTTTTGAGTCCTATGTGACTTCATTGTACAATTAGTGGGTGATTACCCTTATATATATGTTTTATTTTTATACATTTTACCTTCTAGAAAAAAAAAAAAAAAGACTTTGTTGTGGTTAACGCTCTTTAATTTATCTGAATTATAAAGTTCTTTAAATTTGATCCCGAATTTCGGCATTGGAGATGCCTACTTACCTAGACTTGGTTTAAAAATCTATGATTGTGGAAATGGATTATCAGGAAAAGATTTGGAAGAACTATTAAAGAAAAGCCGTTTGGATACTTCTCGGCCTAGTTGATTAGACAACGGATCTATGAGAAGAACCCGGGTCGGTCAATTTATTCTAGAAGGGGTAGCTAAAAGGAGATAGATTTTCTCTTCCTTTTTTTTCCTTTAAAGAGAGACTAGAGAGATTTCACATTCACCAACTTGCATGTAATTTTGTTAAAGCAAATTATGTGTTGACCCCCACACTTATGGCCTCGATCTCACTTTACCCCTTGAACTACTAAATTTCTCAGTTGTCCTCTTTTATTACTTGAATTTGTTTGACACTACCAAAAAATCATTATTTGTTATTTCCTAGAGGAAAAATGCCTACGAGTTGGGGTAAAATGAAACAAAAGTACATAGTTTGGAGGCACAGAAAGATAATTTTCCAACAAATTCATAATTGACTTTAATAATTGAGACAATTGGGAAACTAATCACCATATTTAAAGATAAGATTTGAAAAACATAATTGTTGAGCAGGCAAAAAGAGATGAGGAGCAGATGAGGGGTCAAAGTATAATTTTTCCTTTCTAATCGTTCATATGATGCGACAGCCAACTCCAATTCTTGTACAATATCTACAACAGTTAATGACAAACAAGCAAAGCCAAAACACAGGCGTAAGGGAAATTTTCCCATTCACCGTCTCTCTTCCTCACTCTAGACGACCTGAGTTGCACCACTGGATTTCGGATGCACAGTATCATCTGAGAGGAAACCATGCTTGGTTGCATCATACTTCTCCCCATCACCCCACAACGCATACGCTTCTTCGCCATGAACAGCATCATCTCCAATCTTCAACTGCTCATCCGACATTCTTAATGGCATCACCATCCTTATCACGACGCAAATGATCGACGTGACAACGAGGTTCCACCCGATGATGAAACAGCCGCCAACGATCTGTTTGAGGAACTGGACACCGCCGGAACGGCCATAGACGCCACCTCTCGAGTTAGTGACGGGCAAGAAGAGGTCGCACAGAGCGGGCTCTGCGAAGAGACCAGTGAGGGTTCCGCCCAGAAAGCCGGCGACTGCGTGAGTGTGGAAGACGCCGAGTGTGTCGTCGATTTTCTGGAGCAGTGTCCATCTCTTGTGGACTATCATCATGGTGAACCATGGGATGCTGCCCGAGAGGATTCCCATTATTATGGCCGCCCATCCTTGAACAAGACCTAATGCATAATTCGCGACAAAATTATGAATGTAACAATTGCTAATGAAATGTTTCCCAAATTGTATACTAAAATACTTATCTAAAATGAGTTTGACACTTTCGTACACCCCACACACTTTGGGCTCTAAATGTGACAAATAAATAAATAAATAAATAAATAAAAATATTTATTATTTAAACCTAAAAATTGACGTTATTTGTTAAGTTAATTTATTATGGCTTTGGTGGTTTCATTTCTAGGATGACTTACATTTTGGCCAAGTCATATGTGATTCCATCTCTTGTAATAACAAAAACCGAAGTCAAATAGAAACTTGCATTCTATTTGAGAATCTCGGATTGCCTACAGCGGCCCCCTTCAGCTCTTTTTCTGTGTTGGTTTTTATAAGATTGACATAAGATTCAAATTGTTAGATATTACTGAGGTTCAATGAGCACCCGACAAAGAGTAAACCGTTCAAACGAAAGATCAAACGAAAATGACAAGAATGAAACTCAAGATCTTATCATTTTTATCTTTAGGCCAGCTCCAATATTTGACGGAACACACAATTAGTACAAAGGCAATAGTAAATTAGATAAATAAATAAGATCAAATTTTTAGGTTTAAATAGCATTACTCAAAAAAAAAAAGTAAGTTTATACGTTTGGTCAAAAATCATAGTAAAATAAAATGGTAGCCTTGAAGTATGCTTTTGATCTCATTTTGGCCTCATAACTTTTAGGGTAAACTTCATTTTAGCTCTATGTGTTATACCTCAAATGCACTTTACCTACTTAACATTTAAAAAATTACACATAACCCTCGTGTGATTAGTGGACTAAAGCGCACAGTTAAAAAATCAATCCAAATTAATAGAATTGAACAAACAGAGTTTTAATTCCCTTATTAATTTATTTTTAATTAATTGATAAAACAAATCAGACCCTATGGGCCAATCCCCAACTCAATTTGTGGACACATCGCCAACCCAACTCCAGTGAACTACCACCATCATATTGGACTCACCACCAGAGCTCACACAACAACCACCAACTAGCTCACACAACAACCATCATTTACACCATTTAGTATCACCATTTACACCAGTTGATACTAATTGGTGTAACTCTTTGATTTATGCAAATAATTGAATGACAAATTTAATTAGTGTCATAATTTTGTGTGTAATTATTTGGTGTAACTGTTTAGTTTATCATAAGACGTGAGTAACTTTTTGATGTATTGTGAGGCAATTGTAACTAATTGTTATAATTGACTAATATAATTGTGTTATTGTAATGTTGATATAGAGTGACAAAAAGAGACAGGGAGAGAGATAGAGAGAAAATAAAGAGATAGGGTAATGGTGAGAGGAAATAGAGAGAGACAGAGAAAATAGGGGAAAAAGACAAAAAAATCAAATCAAATGTTTACATTTTTAAAAATAAAGTAAATTATCAATGGAGAAGAGAGAAAAAAAAATACTGAAAAGAGAGTGAGAGAATAATGGACACAGAAAGAGAAAAAAAAAGGTGTGAGAAATAGGGAGGAGAGAGAAACTAAAAAAATATGAATTATGCATAATTTAATGAAGGATAAATAAATAAAATAAAAAAAAATTCATTCAAATTTTGTACATAATCACAAAATATTTTATTAAAATTGAACTTAATAGAGTAAACAACTTATCTATACACTTTCTCTCAAATATGTTTAAACAAATATAGTCACACCCAAAAAAACCCTCACAAATTTCACTAATTGTATCTATTAATCCAAAATTCGCTTACATTAGACAAAAAAAAAACATTTAATAGGCTTTAAATTTGCACTTTTCCGCAGTCAAACCTCATTTCTTAGGGGTTTGCTCACAAAGTCAAGACACACACACACATCGCGCCAAGTGTCAACTCTGGATGACAATTTGCAAGAGATTTTCAAAGGACCAGGCCCCTCTATCACGTCTGCCTAGCTACTTGACCTCAGCTTATTCATGTTTAACATGTTTGAAAATTTCATTTCTACTAATTTTAGTTTAAGAGAAAATTTTCTATTCCAACGAAAATATTATGTATTTTTTTAATACCAAAGGTTTCCATGTAATTAGTCAACTACTATTTTCAGTATTATAAGCTAGAGAGTTTAGAAGTAGTTTAAAACATAAAGTAGAAAGCCGCCCTATTTAGGTTATTGAGATTGAAGGAGGAAGGAAGGTTTCATCTATGAGTCACTTGCACTAAAGTGAATGACTACCAACTTGACATGCCTACCGACGAAGAAAGGACTAAAACAAGACATAGGCTCTAAAGCACTCGCTCTCCCAAACTTTCTTTCAAAAAATTTTAAAGGTCTGAAAGACACTTCAAGATTTCGAAAGACTAAATATGCAAGCGGTATATTCATCTCCGAGTAAGTTCAAATAAAATAGAAAAATTACCTGCACCAGGGGTGATGCAAACTAGACCGGTGATCATGCCCTGAACAGCACCGATGACGGAGGGTTTCTTGAAGAAGATGACATCAAGCCAAGTCCACACCAGCAGGCTCGTAGCAGCGCAAATATTGGTGTTGAGGACTGCCATGGATGAGTCAATGTTGGCGCTGTATGGGTCACCACCATTGAAACCAGCCCATCCCATCCACAACAACCCTGCACCTGCGAGCATCAGTAGTACGTTGTTTGGAGGAAACCTTTCCCGGTCGTTCATCGATCTCGGTCCAACCTGTTGGCTTCGCATATTAGTCTTTATCACCAATCCGAATGCATGGTGATGGTGTGTAAAACTAAATGTGAGCAAGGTGAGCTGTGTAAGCTCTGTGTGAAGTGGATGAGTTGTGTGTGCAAATAACAATAAGCAAAAATAAAAGGAAGTAGTTCAACAAGATAAATAGCTTGGTTGGTACACTACAATTGAGTTTTTTCCTCCTCTGCCTTTTATTACTTGTGGAAGAAGATAGTTATAGTCTTGAAATTACAATTATGCATTTTTTGAGCAAGACAAGAGTCTGTCTACTTATACACTAGAGTAGTGTGGTCCTCAAGTAATAATGGTGTGGTGCCTCAATTTGTTAGGATATTGAAGGTATGACGTGTCATTTTAAAAGCTGGTGACGTAACATTTTAGAGATGGATTCTTCTTACCCAAGATGAGATTTTATGGTGTAATTCCTTTTTTGTCATTTTCACAATGTAAACTAAGCTGGTTTGATAATTGTTGAGCTAGTTGGACAACTGCTGAATTGGTTCATGCCTTGACTAACTTGGATTCGTAGATTAGATCAGTTATGCCAAGATTAGGTCAACCAATCCATCTGTGTGTTGTGGACTTGTTTATCAGATGAATTTATTCTTGGATCATTAGTTGCCCCTATGCCTCAAGCTTGAACAGTCCTAAGTTGGTCGTTGGTTGGGGATGAGCTAGATAAACGAGGCCGAGCTTCGAGGGTGCAGGTGAGTAGGTCTGTCAATGGACTGAATTTCAATATGAATCCATATCCGTTTATCCGGATATGGACCAATATTTTCATCAATTTATCTGAATCTATTTAGGTAACTTAAATCAAATAGGAATATAGATATATACAAATCCGATCTGGTACATATATATATACATGTTGCCTTTATTACATATAATATATACATATCTATCTAATATTAAAACTAGGAAGTTCAATTCTCAACTTCTAAAATCACAACAGAAGTAAAGATTGCTTTAATATTCATCTTCTTTGATCCAATTGTACAAAATATCTTTATATCCGTTGGGTAAATGGATCCAATTTGGTAACATATTTTTTAATCGGATTCGAATTCTAATGGACCCAGATCTAGTTCGAATCCGATTTGTTGACAAGCCTACTGGTGAGGCTAAGCTTATTCAGGTAGAGTTGAGCTGTTGAAACGGAGATGAATTGAGATTGAGATTGTTTGATCGTTCTTCTTGGTCATGGATAACTGAAAAGGTGTGATTTGACTGTTACTCATTCTCTACATAGTCGTGCAATTGTGGGGAGTGCTGAGTACCTTATTTTTCAGGTCGTGCCAATCAAGAGGTAACATGCAGGCATATTAAATGCGTGTGATGGAGAAAAAATCACCAAAACCTCACAAAAATTAAACTCCTCCTCTTCCATTGTAGCAGACTGCTAGAATTTCTTTGTCTTTTTCCATTTTGCAAGAAAAAGAGAGAACTAGGGAGACCATGGAGATAGAACAGAAAGTCTAGTCCTTTGTCATTGTCATCCTGCCTACCATTTTCTTTTGCTTTCGTCATCTTTCCTACTCGGCCAGCCACCTGTTAAGTACATCCTATATCTTTTTCACTTCAATCTAGATCGATTTGCTACCTTAGGAGTCTTAATAGATATTTGGTTTCCCTTTCTCCCTTTTACTGATCGAGCTACTATAACTAGGGTATTTCTCCCTCGTACCATTGAGGATTACTCCTTAAATATTCTTCAATTTTACCTCAAGTAAGGATGTCTTGCCCCTCGTGCCGAAATCATGTCTTCTTGTTCTACTACTTCTCCTTCCTCTATTTCAGCCATGTTTGGGCACAGCTGTAGTTAGGCCAAGGTCAACTCTTCTCATAGAGCAGACATCGTTGACCTGGATGAGGTTCCAAGAGATAAAAACCTCTTGGCTATTGTTCGATATAACAAGGCCTCTTCTCAGCGTCTTGAGGTGCCTCTTCCCAAGGAGGTAGTGTCCGAGGGCGTGGTCCCCGAGAAGAAAATTAGGGCAGTTAGAAAAAGGCGGAGAGTACCCCCGAGCAACGCACCTTGCTCGTCTAGGGCTGGCCTTTCTAAGAAAAGAAAAGGGGAAGCTCATGATTCAAGAGTTCAAGGTACCCTGATCCATAGCCATGTTACTAAGGTCCAAGTCTAGGCCATTAGGAAAGTTTACCAATTTTTAGAGGGTGTAATGTTGCATGCTTTATCCAAAGAGAAGTGTTACAACATCTACCTCTAAGGGAAGGACTGCTTCTTCGATTCAGCTTTTCAGCTTGGCTTAAGGTTCCCGATGCACCCCTTCATCCAAGTTGTGCTTCGATATTTTAAATTATGTCATGCTAGGATTTCCCCTAATGTCTGGGGTTTATTAGTATATTTGCGCTTCTTTTGGTGAGAGAATGGTATTAGATATACCCTCATCATTCCCGAGCTCCTCCACTTATTCCATCTAAAATCCTCCATTTCTTATGGTTTTCTCTACTTCGTCGGGGTCAAGGCGGAGGAGTTGATTTTTGGGGCTCTTTCTTCCCACATGGATTGGAAAGAGAATTTCTTTTTCATATCGAGGGACGCTTGGGAATTTGAGGGGGAAGTCTAGGAGCTTATTCGAGTTGCTCAGGTTTGGAAAGCCCCTAGGAACTTGAGTAAGTTAAACTTTTGTAATGCAAGATTATTTTTGCTCAGTATTTCTAGACCTAAAATGCCTTTGTTTTGGTTCACAGGATATGAGTCAATCTTGAATTAGATCTGAAACAAATCTGTGTTTCTCAGTCCAAGAAGTGAGAGGTGAAGCACTACAAAAAGCTCGTGACTCCTAAGAATTTAGCCAAGCACGAGCTAGGTCCCCCAGTTTTAGAAGTGCTCCCAATTGAAGAAACCAAAGCAACCTAGGCCGAGGAAACTACTTCTGGAAAGTATCTCTTGTTCATCACTAACTAGAAATTTTTCACTCTTTCTATATTGATTTTTTCTTTGCTTTTTCAGATCCTACTACAATGGCTCCTAACAATGAAAGATGCTAAAAAAAGCTCTAGCTAAGAAAAGACAAGTCAAGCTTGTAGGGAAAACTAGAGTTTCCAAGAAACGGAGGTGCCTGGTGAAGAAGCCTGAGCTTTCCCCTCTTGATGCTAACATGCTTGTTTCCAAGGAGGTCATTATTCCCGACCTACCCTACCCAGGAGAGGTCTAAGGGGGTCAAGGTCTCCCCTTCTAAAGGGCAAGGTACACTTGATGTGAACCCTCCTTAGGAGGTCAGGGTCACCTTCGAGGGGGGTCCCTAGAGCTAGTGTAGCAATGACTCAAAATTTTGTTGATTCATTGTTAGGATACTTCCCTCTTCCTAATGATAAACAATCCTTCTTGTGCAACGCTGCTCAGGCCACTACGAAGATGGTGAATATCTTGCCTAAAGCTGATATTCGCGAGTCAGCTAAACTTAGCCATAGGGAAAAATCCACGAATGTTCTTCGCGGATTTCTAGCAGTACATTCTCCTACTACTCATCCTTTTTGCTTTCTTTTTGAAGTTTAAGCTAAGGAATCCTTCTTCTCTTTGTAGTCTGTTATCCATGTTATCACTTTTCCTGCTTAGACCTAAAGATATGAAAGGCAATATGAGGATATAAAACTGATTGGGCTGCTGCCAACAATAGACTAGAGGAGCTGACCTCCCAAGTTAACATTCTTAAATCCTTTTAACTTGTCGTTGAAAGAGAGGTGGAGCTCAACGGAGGCTGATCTCTCTAAGGTAACTGAAGTCGTTAGAGTGGCCAAATTTGAGAAGGCAAAGGCTGATAAAGAAGCAGCTTTGTTGAACTCAAAGTGAGCAGATGTGACCAAGAGGTGCTCTGGGCTCGAGGCTGAGGTAAAGGACAAGGAATGGGCCATCGTCAATCTAAAGAAGGAAGCTACAGACAACTACACTAACGGGTATGAAGAGCTAAGGGAATAGGCCAAAAAGAAGTATCCTTAGGACAAGTACCATGATCTTGACTTTGATTTCTTCATTCTTAGATGAAAAGGCTGAGGAGAATAAGGAAGCGACTGAGGAGGCCACTAGGGAATGAGTTAAAGGTAATGTCAAGCTACCAACAAATGTGACTGAGTAACAGACTGATGGGCTTAACTTGAATGCCTAGAGTTAAGAAGCTAGCTTCTTTCCTTTTTCTTTCAAAAAATTTTAAGTGTGTAGAATATTTCTGCTTTTTGTAATATGAGCCCTTTTGATATGTAATAAAAACTAATTTTTCCTTTTGTGTTATCTTCATTTTTGTTGTGGTGCTGTCATAGCATAGTTGTTACTTGCCTCCTTCACTGGTGGAAGGTGTTAGCCTTGTAGAAGTGAAGTCATCATTAGGGGTCATGTTTTGCCTAAGGTCATGGTTATTTAGTCTTTATGTTGGGTGGCCCCCTAGACTGAGTGGCCTAACCTTTTTAGTGAAGCTAAGGATCTTGCATAGCCTTTGGTGGTTTTAAGCTAAGGAGCTTAAATCTTGCTATAATTTTTTTTTTTTTGAGAAACTCTCAGGCTAGGAAGTCTGCTTTTAAGAATGAGTTAAAAGAGTTCTTTAGGCTGGAAAGTATGTCTTTAAGGGAAGAGATTAAAAGCTCTTTAGGCTAAAAAGTATGTCGTTAAGGGAAGAGCTGAAATGCTCTCTAGGCTTAGAAGCCTGTTGTTGAGGAAAGAGCTGAAAAGCCCTCTATGATAAGAAACTTGTAATTGAGGGAAGAGCGGAAGAGCTCTTGAGGCTGAAAAGTAGGTTATTATGAGAAGAGCTCTCTAGGCTTAAAAGCCAATCATCCAGGGAAGAGTTGAAAAGCTCTTAGGGTGAAAATTCTATCTTCCCCTTGTTAGCAGCTTTATGCAATTAAATAACAAACTTTGCAAAATTTTATTTAAACAAGGAGTATTATTGATGAATTTCTTTTGAATAAAACATCTTTTGAATTAGTACTTAATACCCTGCACAGTACAAAAACTTTTGAAACTATGATTGTCAAATTGT